GCTTGAAAGAATATATAAGCCAAGGGTATTTTCAATCAGTGCAGATAAAGTGAAAATATCTTCTTATATTAAAGCTTCCAGTTTCCCAAAGAGAAAATTGTGTCAGTAAGGAAAAGGCATAAGACCAAGAGAGTTAAATTGACCCAGTGTACTTCAAAATGCCCCGTAAGTTTAAAAGCCCTTCCTTTCCCACCTGATAATCGGGAGACAGAAGCAGGCTGCGCTCACCTAAACTTGGGTTTATAGTATGGTAGGGCAGTGGGTTCTCAAATGGGTTCTGAGACCCCAGCATCCAGCGCCAAATGGGAACATGCTGGACATACAAACTCCCAGACCCTGGGGAGGGGAAGGAGGTGGGAGGGGCAGCAATCTATTTTCAGAAGCCTTTAAGAAGGTGATGTTGCTGCCTGCTCCATTGAGAACCAGAGGTGTAGAAGGAAGTTAGAAGAAGTGAGCAACTGCATTTGAACACCAGAGTCTGCCCCTTATAAATGGTTACTTAACTTTTCCGTGCTTTAATTTCCTCATCTACAAAATGAAGATGTTAATACCGTAGCTCCTAACTCACTGGAAAACTGGCAGTAAGATGATACACGTGAAAGCATGGCAAAATGCTTGACTCTTACCAAGCATTTTCTACTAGGGAGGTAATCACAGATTTGCTTTTATTCCAAATTGCTCATCCATTTATTCAGTTAGAATTTATTGAGCATTTACCACCTACTGCACATGAGAATCACCCAGGGAGTTCTGGTGAAATCCCACTGCCTGTGCCCCTCTCCATATTAGAACATAGACTCTGACAGTGGGGCCCAACCTTGCACAGGTTAAAGCTCCCCGGGAGCTTCTAATGGAAGAAGCAAATCTGCAAGCAAAAATTACAGCCCAATGTCCAAACAGCAGTGGCTGGATGTATACCCATGATCCCAGGGAAACTTTTAGGGAGGAGTCACTTGCTCAGCAAACTTTCTTTGGTGCCTATATGTTCCCTCCGGCTTTACTGCCCTTTGTAGGAGGCACAAATCATGTTTTTTTAAACTCTCATTGCTTGGCAACATGCCTGACAAAGAAGACGTGCAGGTGAAGTTTGTGGAGGCAACAAACAGTGACTTGGATTTCTAGGATTGGGACCTCCAACTCCTGGAAACCCGGGCACAGTTCGTCAGGACACAGCAGTAATTATAAGGTCATTATCTCCATAACAAACTCTCATAAATGCACATTTGCCTGAAGGTATTGCCCAAGCCTCAAGGCTACACATAATGGTTTCACACACCCATTTCCAGGGGAGGAGTGACATGGGAAAAGCTTTTAAATTAATTAAAAGAGACACTCGGGCACACTTCATGCCATTCTTTAATCTCCATTCTCCTGTGATAAATACTGAATGACAGAAACAGGCCCAGGCTAACGAGTTGGAGGCAGGCCCCTATGGGGGTCAGAAGCACTGCTGGGGGGCCCAAGCCTCAGAAAGAAGAAGAAGGAAATCACACCTTGCCTTGGCTATGTCATTAAGGTGCCACCAAACAGTGCTCCGAAGAATGCCCACTGGACATGAGCTCTCACCCTTCTCTGACTAATAGCAATTTAAACAACAGATAAAAAGGAACCAGTATGATTGCAATTAAGAAGTCAGAGGATAATAATAATAATAATTATGATTTATTGAGGGTTTTCTAGCATGAGGCGCTGTGCTAAAGGCTTCTCATGAAAAATTTCATTTGATTGTGGGGGAGGGCCTCCACATGGCCCCCAGCGATCCTGCCCTGCTAACACACACGCCCTGGCTAGCCCCCTTGCACTCTGAATCAGCACTGCCTCATGAGACCAATAGAAAATGACAGCAGTAACCGTCTGAGGTTGCTGAGTCAGTACTAACCAACTTCCGAGGTTAGATCATAAAAGACATCACCATGTGCAACAAGACCTCTCGGGTCACCTGCCTGGGGGAAGCCAGTGTCATGTTAAGTGGACACACAAGCAGCTCTGTGGCAAGGCACACGTGGAGAAGAACCAGTTTGCTAGCCACACGACTGGGCCACCTTGTCTGAAGCCCCAGACACGACAGACAGAGGGAAGCCATCATCACCGGCCCCTGAATTCCTGACCTGCAGAACCCATGAACTAACTGTTGTTTCAAAAACTAAGATCTTGTGGTATTTTGTGATGCAGGATACACAACTCAAACACAAGAGTGAGACACCTTTATGCTACAGCTGAGGAGAGTTTAACTGATTCGATCTCGCCTAGACTAAGTGAAATAGTGGGGATTCAAATCCGGGATTGCAGATTTGAGGGTCCCACGTCCCACTCTGTCCTAACACTCCTGACAGATAAACATAAGGTACATCCCCTATTTCCCATCCTTTTTGTTAAGGGAAAAGTAATCATTTAATAGGAATCTGTGACAGGCTTTGGTTGTCCCCAAGATACTTTGTTCATCTTACACGGCACCCACCATTCTGCTTTGTATTTTAGTCATTTCTCTACGAATACATTAGAAACTCCCTCGCAATGCTTGCAAAGAGTAGAAAGGTAAAGACAGGCTGTTGTGCTAATCCTGTGGACGCCGCTTCAACTTGCCTGCTTTGGCATGTCCTCAGCTTTCAGGCCTGGTGATCTTAGGCAAGCTACCTAAATTTCATGAACCGCAGATTCCTTGCTCTTATAACACGGACGGTATTAACAAACGTGTTTGTACAGACTGCATTAGAAAAATACTCAGAAAGTCCTTAACACATTGCCTGGCACATCGTAAGTGTTCAATAAATGTTACCTATTTGGATTTTTTTGTTTTGTTTTCTTTTTTTTTTTTTTGAGACAGAGTCTCACTTTGTTGCCCAGGCTAGAGTGAGTGCCGTGGCGTCAGCCTAGCTCACAGCAACCTCAAACTCCTGGGCTCAAGCAATCCTGCTGCCTCAGTCTCCTGAGTAGCTGGGACTACAGGCATGCGCCACCATGCCGGCTGATTTTTTTCTATATATATTAGTTGGAAAATTAATTTCTTTTTATTTATAGTAGAGACGGGGGTCTCGCTCTTGCTCAGGCTGGTTTCAAACTCTTGACCTCGAGCAATCCGCCCGCCTCGGCCTCCCAGAGTGCTAGGATTGCAGGTGTGAGCCACCTGCCTGGCCAAATGTTACCTATTTGGATTATTATTATCAAATATGTGCTGAAAAGCATCCAACATTTTAAATGGCCAAACAAAAGCTCTTCTCCCAACCTCTCCTCATGTCAGAAAAAGAAGTTCCACTGAAATATTACATAGCAGTGGTTCTTCGAAATGACGCCCTCTCACTACGCAGGCACTGAAACCCGTAGTCACCGGCCTAGCCATGTGGCTAGAGACTTGGCCATGGCTCCTACGAGAGTCCAGCCTGCTGCTGGCTTGACGAGAGGAACAGGAAGAGCTGCTGTGCACGTCTGTCGTCTAGTGAGACACACACAGACCGATTTGGCTCTTCCCTACAAGAAGTGACAGACGGCAGGAGGCTCTGCCTCACCCTGGTCTTACATAAACAGGAGTGTAGAGGCAGTTTGTCTCCATCTGATCTCTTAATCCCAAAACATTCTTATCATTTTGTCAATTCAGACAAAGCTCCTTAGCCCCTGCCAGCACTTATTCTGGTACCTTCCCTTGTGGTTCGTTCTTTTTTGGTCTTAGGGCTAATAAGCCACCAGGTGTTTACTGTCCCCTCACATGACTCCCTACTTAAAAAATGGTTACATTCCCACCTCCCCTTGAACTTAGCTTTATGGTCCCCCCCCTTTCTTTCCCCCTTAAACACAAGAAAGCTTTCTGTGTAAAGTTCTACCTGGGCTCTAAAACATTTCCATAACCTTCCACTTCTGGGTATGACTAAGCAAAAGGAAGCTGGGAGAAACACCAGCCACATTCACCCATCTCCAAAGAAGCACAGATTCCTAGCAATGCAAAGTGCGGGGTTGGCTTCTCAGGTGGACGTACAGAGAGGGACTTGGACACAGAGCTGGCCCTCAGCAGGGATAGAGGGACAGGAGACCAGGGGGAGGGATCAGGACAGCAAATGAGGATGCAGGGGAGGCCCCTGGAGCAGTGAGGGATGGGAGGATCCTGACCTGAGGAGGTGGGGAAGGGCAGAGAAAAGGCTCCAGCTAGAAGGAATGTGAGGCAGGTGTGGGGAAAGCTATGGATTCCTGTCCTTTCTTCAGTTTGGAGACATTATGTAGAGAAGCAGGAACAGGGATTACAAAAAATAAAGTAGTATAGTGGAAAATATGCTGGCAGTGTTCAGCAATAAAAATTTTCGAGAAAGAGAAACGTAAAGGGTGTTTTACCCATTGTAGAGCAAATCAGTGACTTGTGGATTTTATGACTAACATGCTCTAATTCACTTCTCAGTGATCATGAACCTAAAAACCCTAAGGCTAGAGATGTATATTTTCTAAAGAGGCAATGTCAACTGAACTGGTGGATTACTCTTCCCAACATGTTAAGTAAGTTTTATTCACTGAAAAACCTTTTGATTGAACCACTGAACTATCAAGTCACACACTTTCCAACTATTTTTCCCCTGGTCTACTTTTTAAAACTATTACCTGAAGTGACAGGGCACACTTAGATGGCATAAGTCTGTTACCTACCAGCAGTCATTGCAATGATTTCTAAGAACCAATATCGATTAACTACACTGGTTTCAGGGTGCAGTAAATGTGTATCAGAGGTAAACATGATCATTGATAGGTCTAAGGGTGTCTACATCTTGCACAAGGTAAGCTCTCAAACAGAAATTCTGTGAATCAGAGCTCCCTTTTCTTTCCCCTTATTTTAGAACCAAAGATCTAAGTTCAAAAAGATCCAGAAAGCATCACAGACCATTAACCAATTTCAAATGGTGGGTCCTGAAACAGGAAAAAGTCCCTGGTCATTATTTCTGAGTCCTCCCAGTCCAGCAAATCTTCCCCATACAATGAGAAACTGGATGACATGGCCCCGGGCCAGGCTTCCTTAGCGAACTTACCATATACCACATGCTTGGCCACTTGGGATCATTGAAGTAGGTAGACTGAGTACGACTGAGGTCATAATCCCTCTTTGTCCGTTTTTTCACCACTTGCTGTTGGATCCACTCCACCTGCCAAGAAGGAAGACATTTGGTGAGTGTTCAAGTACCATTAGAGTTAGCACAACATAAACAAGGCATTTCCCATCTTGAGTCAATGCTATTTAAGTCTGAGTCCAGGAGCTCAAAGATTCCCTAGAAACCCAGTTTTTTGTTTTTAATTTTTAATGCAGGCAGGTGTTTTAGTTTTTTTATAGATAGATCATTTATATCTCTCAACAGCGAGCTAACCTTTTGGCTTTTTCAGAAAGCATATTTTACTCACAATTTGTTACAAATGGATAGTTAATTTTTAAGGTAATTTTTCATCCTTACTTTATGCTAAGAGTTTATAAACTTTTTCTATAAAGGTCCAGATAATAAATATTTTAGGCTTTGCAGGTCACTTGGTCCTAATGCAATTCCTCATTCTATCAGTGCAAGCACCATAGATAATACATAAATGAATGGGCGTGACTGTGCTCTAGTGAAACTTTATGTACAAAAACAGTCTGGATTTGACCCATGGGCCACAGTTTACAATCCCTGACTTACATAATGCACCAATTTTTAAAAAATATTCTGGGATCATGGCCGGGCGCGGTGGCTCATGCCTGTAATCCTAGCTCTTGGGAGGCCGAGGCGGGCGGATTGCTCAAGGTCAGGAGTTCAAAACCAGCCTGAGCAAGAGCGAGACCCCGTCTCTACTATAAATAGAAAGAAATTAATTGGCCAACTGATATATATATGTAAAAAATTAGCTGGGCATGGTGGCACATGCCTGTAGTCCCAGCTACTCGGGAGGCTGAGGCAGGAGGATTGCTTGAGCCCAGGAGTTTGAGGTTGCTGTGAGCTAGGCTGACGCCACGGCACTCACTCTAGCCTGGGCAACAAAGCGAGACGCTGCCTCAAAAAAAAAAAAAAAAAAAAAAAATTCTGGGATCAAATGCTCTAGGATCACAAATTTTAAAAAATTTCTACAACACGGTGTGATGGAAAAGCACTATTTGGAGAATCAGAAAAGCCAAAGCCCTAGTCCTATTCATGGCACAAAACTGGAGAAGCCACTCAATTTCCTCAGCCGTAGGCTCCTCGCCAGCTCAGTAATTCAAACACACTCGCTACATGCGAATCTCAATATTTAGTCATAACCTTTGTTTAAACAAAATAATCAGAAACCCTGAGTTTAATACAGGATCAGTAACCTAATAGGACGGGCATGTATGGCAACATTTTCTTTTAAAAGGGTATCATTATGGCAACAGAAAAATAAGCATGTTCTACAGCTTCAATGGAGTATCTCAAATGCAGTATCAACCCTGGTGGCATTCCTCAAATTTGTTCCTAAATGCTTCTTTGTTTGATTCTTCTGGTGACAGCTAATTTTGTCACAATGCTCTGAAATGTTTTGTTCTACCATTTATCTCTACTCTCCACAGAGGAATTAAAAAATGAGTTGAGGAGGAAGGAGACTTCGTAGTTCACTGCTATAATTCCATATCCGCCCATTCAGTGAAGATGTTAAAATTTCTCTTGCCTACTCAATTACCGGAGAAGGGCTCCTAAGGTATCCTCCTCGATCAGAGAGGAGCAGCAAGTATGGGCACACGTGTACAGTTTTTATTTCCAGGAAGCATTTTTAACCTCTTCCTTTCAAATACTCAGGAATGAGTTTCATTCACTCACTAATTCATTCAACAAGCATTAAGCGCCAGGCACTGTGGTGAGAATATAAAGATGAGTAAGATTTGTCTTTATCTTTGAAAGACTTAATATTTTACCAGGGAAATTTAGCAAGTATTTTACAATTCTGCGCCTCATAAAACAATGATCTCCATGAATGACATCTGACACAGGCTCTGTCCCATTTAATTGACAATTACTTAGACCACCCATGATGATTTTCACTACAAAACTTGTATTTACAATCTATATCTTATATGACTGTCTATAAGTCTTATCCCAATAAGGTTGAACTAGTTCACGGTTGCACGCTTGGTAAAAGAAGGCTGCAGATCTGTTTAGACAGAACTCTTTTCAAAACTAATCCTATATTGGCAGTGGCTTTTCCTAACAGAGCCTTCATAAATTCCAAACTGCCAACGTATATGGGTGCACAAATCACAAAGTGTCAAATCTCCCCCAGTGTGGATGCAATAAAGAGACTTCTAGAGATCAGGACAGTCTATACTGGGGTGGGTGGGAGTGGATAATCATTCCTACAATGATACCGTAAGTATGCCCTTCCTCCTATGCACACGTTCCAATAGACAAATGGGATAAGTATGTGAGAAAACCAAGTGACAGCCATTTTCCTAGATGAACTATAGGTACTAAAATAGAACAAAATATCCTACCAAACAGCACCTCTTCTGTAATTTTACCAAACAAAAATGCTTAATTACAGGACTTGGTGGCTAGAAGGTGGCACAGCAACTTGGCATCTAGCTTTGACTGCAAGTCACTCCGATCACAGGGCTGCAATACTCAAGAAAAGGTCAGTGGGGATTTTTTTTTTAGTGTCATGTATCATGTATTTTGCCTTGGTGCTTTATGGGGATAAGTATATAGCCCTTTATTTTTTAGAAAGCGGGAAAAGCACATCTTGGATCGGAAGGTTTCTATGACTGGAAAGACCATATTTATATGTTTAAACTATTATCCATATGTCTGTCCTTGAGCTCTTCAGAGAAAAAGTCAGAGGTAATGTATTGTGCAGATTTTTATTTCTTACCAAGAAGCCAAATGCAAAGAAAAGATACTTAAAAATTAATTTTCATAAAGCTATGGTCAGTCCAGGAGAAAAGAATAATCATGTGCATTCCCTCATTGATTTAACTTCTGAAAGTTCTATTAATGTTTCCTATACATTAAGGAACTACAAGACCTTTGAAACCATCAGTCTATTTTCCATTATTTTCAACACACACATGCCACATGGTTTTAAGGTCACTCCCTTCATCTACTCACAGCACTCTCATTCCTAGGACTGTGGTCCAGGTGAACAATGTGCATTTGCTTCTTAAGAAATTTCATCTAAAGATGTCTGAATCCAAAACACATCAGTTGACAATTGTGGGAAATTTGCCCTCATAATCTCACCTGAACATATATCTCACTATTTTAAAATTTACCAGCTTTTGATACTACGCAACAGGAAGGCAACAGGAGGAAAAAAAAAAGGATGTTATCATATGAATATATATAAGTTATTACATAAATATAAATGGGAAACAAATTATGGTGTTATTTTTAAAATGTACCTTGCAGTGAGAGGGAATCAGTCCTTTAGATATTAAGAAATATTAATACTCATGGTTAACACATATACTGTTAGCACATATCTATAGATATATGAATGGTACAGAATAGAAATTCAAGAAACTGACCTGAAACATGTAAGAATACAGTGTGTGATAATGATGTTATCCTAAATTCATAAGGAAAAACAAATTACTTCATAAATCGTGCTGGAACAACAACCAAATGGGGAAAAAAATAAAGCTGAAGCCACTCTCACATCTTACAACAAGATCAATTTCAAATGAATCAAATACTTAAATGTAAAAGTCAACAAATATGGTACCATAAAAGTACCATAAGAAATAAGAAAGACTTTTGAAAATAATCTTAGAGTAGAAGATGCCTAGCTAAGCATAATACAAATGAAAAGATGATTTAGAAAACTGATAAACTGATGTAACTTTGAGACAGCAAAAGGAATATCAAAAGCAAGGTAAAAGACAAACTGGGAAAAGTTTACAGCTCCAACCATGAACAAAAGACTATCTCACTAATATATAAAGAGTTTCTACAATCAATAAAAGAACAATATGAAAATGGGCAAAGATTAGGTGCACAAAAACCTCTGGAAAGGTAAATCAAGTCTCTTAAACATGTAAAAATATACCTAGCCTGATGCATATTAAGACAAAAGCAAATTAAAACTAAGATACCATTTTTTGCCTTTCAGATATAAACAATCTAAAGGTTGGTAACATACTGTTAGTAAGAGCATGAGAAAATAATGATCCTCACATAATGGTGAGGAGAATATAAATGTGTCCAACTTTGTGGATGATAATTGGACAATACCTTCAAAAAATGACAAAAGATGTAATTCTACTTTTAGGAGTTTACCCTACCTATTTATTTACACACATGAATATACAAGGTTATTTATTAAAGTACTGCTAATAAGAACTAAAAATTATAAACAATCTAAATATATATTAATTGGGGCTAATTAAATTAAAAATGGCATACCAGTACAATGGAATACAGTACAATATAACCATAAAAGAGAATGAAATGGACTTTATGTACTGACAAAGAATCATCTTCATGATAGAGTTTAAAATAATAAAAAAGTAAGGTACAAACAGTTTATGGAGAAGACTAGAATTTTGCATTTCTCTGAAGTGATTACACACAAACAAACCTGATAACACTGATTTCTGGAGGGAAAACAGGGCAACTGGGATATAGGGACAGGAGGAAAATCTTTGCTTGTCCTTTTATGCCTTGTTACTTCTGAACCATAGCAATATGCTACCTATGCAATTAAATTTTTTTAATATTATGTTCTAACATGACTTCTATATTGAGAAAAGTTGGGTAAGGTAACCAAAAGAAGTGGCTGGAATTGGGGGAGCTTGGTTATTTTCTTAGCTTTGTTACCAGTCACCAATGTGATCTTGCAAAAATCTTTGTGGGCCTCTTTTTACCTGCAGGTTGACTAAGTATGTCCTCTAGTCTCTTTCTTCTAGCTGTGCATTTTTTCCCCCATAATCCAATTCTCTGAAATGACTGGGAATAAAAAGTTTGTCAAAAGCAATAGAGACACCTGAGGTAGATGTTTAGGTAAGTGATTTTAAGTGATTCTGTGAAAACGCAAGATTATTATTTGAAAAGGAGTGTAGTAATCAGGTTACTCATTAAGGAAATAAAATGGGTGGGATTCTATATTTTATATTTTTTGTAACTTATTTTGTATCATATTTTCTATCTTTTTTTGACAAAATTGAGGAAAA